TCACGAAGGCACCCTAGAGGCAGACGAATTTCATGAGGACATTTCGAGACGTTGATTGCTAAGAATACATTCAGAGACACTTCACTGTCACGACGACAGCTTGGAAGCAAAAGAGTTTCTTGATATCTCGAGGCATTGATTGCCAAGATTATATTGAATGGCATTTCATTGCCACGAAGACACATTTGAGACGGAAGAGTTTGAAGAGGATATTTCTAGTCATTCATTGCTGAAGATACGTTCAGTGACACTTCACTGTCACGAAGACACCTTGGATTTAAAAGAATTCTATGACATCTCGAGGCATTAATTGTCAAGATTACATTGAATGGCACTTCATTGCCACGAAGACACATTTGAGACAAGAGTTTGAAGAGGATATTTCGATTCATTCATTGCTGAGGATACGTCCAGTGACACTTCATTGTCACGAAGTCACCTTGAATGCAGAAGATTTCTCCGACATCTCGAGGCATTAATTGTCAAGATTATATTGAGTGGCACTTCATTGCCCCGAAGACACCCTTGAGACAGAAGAGTTTGAAGGGGATATTTCTATGCATTTATTGCTGTGGATACGTTCAGTGACATTTCACTGTCACAAAGACACCCTGGAGGAAGAAGAATTCCGTTGGGACATTTCGAGGCATTAATTGCCAACATTATATTGAGTGGCACTTCACTGTCACAAAGACACCCTTGCGACAAATAAGTTTAAAGAGGATATTACGAGGCATGGATTGCTCATAATATATTCCTTGACATTTCACTGTCACGAAGAAACCTTGGATGCAAAAGAGTTTGATGACAACTTGAGGCATTGATTGCCAAGATTACATCCAGTGAGACTTCAAAGTCACGAAGACACTTTGGATGAAGAAGAGTTTGAAGAGGATATTTCCATTCATTCATTGCCAAGGATACGTTCAGTGACACTTCTCGTCAGGAAGACGCCTAGAGGCAGAAGAATTCTCTGACATTTCGAAGCATTGATTGCTGAGAATATATTCAGTGACACTTCACTGTCACGAAGACACTTTGGATGCAGAAGATTTTTCTGACATCTCGAGGTATGAATGGTCAAGATTATATTGAGTGGCACTTCATTGTCACGAAGACACCCTTTAGAGAGAAGAGTTTGAAGAGAATATTTCGATTCATTCATTGCTATGAATACATTCAGTGACACTTCACTGTCAGGGAGACACGTTGGATGCAGAAGAATTTGATAAGGACATTTCGATTCATTGATTGCTAAGAAAACATTCAGTGACACTTCACTGTCACGAAGACGCCTTGGATGCAGAAGAGTGCTATGACATCCCGAGGCATTGATTGCCAAGATTATATTGAGTGGCACTTTATTGTCACAAAGCGACCCTTGAGACAGAAGACTTTGAAGAGGATATTTCTATTCATCGATTGCTATGAATACATTCCTTGACACTTCACTGTCAGGAAGACACCTGAAATGCCGAAGTGTTCTATGACATCTCGAGGCATTGATTGCCAAGATTATATTCGGTGGCACTTCACTGTCACGAAGACACCCTAGAGGCAGAGGAATTCCATGAGGACATTTCGATTCATTGTTTGGTATGAATACATTCATTGACACTTCACACTGTCACGAAGACACCTTGAATGCAGAAGAGTCCCTTGATATCTCGAGGCATTGATTGCCAAGATCATATTGAGTGGCACTTCATTGTCACGAAGACACCCTTGAGACAGAAGGCTTTGAAGAGGATATTTCTATTCATCCATTGCTAAGGATACGTTCCGTGCCGTGACACTTTACTGTCAGGAAGACACTCTGGATGCAGAAGAATTCCATGAGGACATTTCGAGGCATTGATTGCTATGAATACATTCCTTGGCATTTTACTGTCACGAAGGCACCCTAGAGGCAGACGAATTTCATGAGGACATTTCGAGACGTTGATTGCTAAGAATACATTCAGAGACACTTCACTGTCACGACGACAGCTTGGAAGCAAAAGAGTTTCTTGATATCTCGAGGCATTGATTGCCAAGATTATATTGAGTCGCATTTCATTGTCACGAAGACACATTTGAGACAGAAGAGTTTGAAAAGGATATTTCTATTCATTCATTGCTGAGGATACGTTCAGTGACACTTCACTGTCACGAAGACACCTAGAGGCAGAATAATTCTATGACATCTAGAGGCATTAATTGTCAAGGTTAGATTGAGTCGCACTTCATTGTCACGAAGACACCTTGAAGGTAGAAGAATTCGATGAGGACATTTCGGGGCATTGATTGCTAAGAATACGTTCAGTGACACTTCACTGTCACGAAGACACCCTTGAGACATAAGGGTTCTTAGAGGATATTGATGGGTCATAGGATAGTCTGTAATAAATCACAGAAAAGACACAGACGAGTTGCATGGAGACGTCTGGAGGCAATGTTTGCCAAGAAGCTGTTCAGTGGCAATTGACTGTCATGAAGAAACACTGGAAGCATTAGAGTGCCTGCCAACAAGACTTCTGGGGGCAGAAAATAACCAAGAAGACCTCTATAGGAATATGTCTGCAAATAAGACATCCTTGAGGCAAAATGCATCACCAAGAGACTCTCCGGTACCAGGTTTCCCACCTTCCATGGTCACTAGTACCAAAATAAGACCTCTGGCGACCTCTATCTAAGGGTCGGGTATGCTTCTGAGGCACGTTAGGTTCAGAGACTTAACACTGCACTAACCTGACTAACCCGCACTAACAACCTGAACGTAGGCGCATTACTTTATAGAAAGACACTTCCAAATTCTTTAGATTTAGGTTCAAAATCGGGGATTGTTTGGTTGTCAGAGGCTGTGTCAGCCTCTTTGTATCCGCCTGAAGCATGCCCGACCACTGGATAACGACGGTCACACACTGGAGGCAAAAGAAGGTCAAGAAGACATATGAATGCAGTGATGCTGCTAATAAGATAATCAGTGGAAATTGAATGTCACGAAGACACTCTGGAGGCACAAGAGATCAAAGTGCACATTTCGAGGCATTGATTGCCAAGAATTATTAAGTGGGACTTCTCTGGAACGAAGACACCCTGGAGGGAAAACAGTGACATGAAGCATCTTGTGGCATCAGTCAGGAAGGCAGAGGGATTCCATGAGGACATCTCGAGACATTGATTGCTAAGAATATATTCAGTGACATTTCCCTGTCACGAAGACACTAAGGATGCAGAAGAGCTCCATCGGGACATCTCGAAGCAATGATTGTCAATAATATATGTATTGACATTTCCCTGTCACGAAGACACCCTTGAGGCAGAAGAGTGCCAATAACTCCACGAGGGGCAATGATTTCCAAGATTATATTCATTGACAATTCCGTCACGACGACAACTTGGAGGCAGAAGAGTGGCATTTATCATGAGGAGGCAACGACAGCCAAGGATATATTCGGTGTCAATACATTGTCACGAAGACACCCTGGAAGCAGAAGAATTCCATCTCGAGGCATGGATTGCCAAGAATATATTGAGGGGCACTTTACTGTCACAAAGACACCCCGCATTCAGAAGAGATTCATAAGAGGACATTTCGAGGCATTAAATGCTGAGGATATATTCTATGATACTTCTTAGTCACGAAGACACCCTGGAGCCAGAAGAGTTCCATGAGGACATCTCGATGCATTGATTACCAATATTTTTTATATATGGCACTTCCTGTCACGAAGACATTTTGGATGCAGAAGAGTTCTCAGAGGCCATTTCCAGGCATTGATTACTAAAAAATTTAAATGACACTCCACTGTCATGAAGACACCCAGGTGGCAGAAGATTTCCATGAGGACAAATCGAGGCATTCATTGCCAAGAATATATTTTGCGTAACTTCACTTTCACGATGACACCAGGGAGACAGAAGAATTCAAATCGGCCGTTTTGAGGCATTGATTACGAAGAATATTTTCAGTGACACTTCGCTGTCATGAAGAGGTATGAAAGTTCCAAGAATGTTAATCTCGGAGCATTGATTGCTAAGAAGATATTCAGTGATAATTCACTGTAACGAAATTATTCGAGACTTCTTGAGGAAATGATTGCCAGAAGATATTCAGTGTCACTGTCACGAGGACACCCTGGAGGCAGAACAGTGCCTTTCACTTCAGTGTCTATTTCTGCAGATATTTGTTAGGTCACAGTGACCTATTTTCAATGAAAAGCATGAACCATATTTTCGTTGTGACATTGAATTCCACCATGAGACTTCATATTTGGTTTTATATACTGGTTAACCCTTGAAAATATTGCAGTTGATATTGATAATGTCAAGGTCACGTGTTCTCAATAATAAAAATCGTTCAATGTAGTTACAATTAATTGAAATGACGAAGACCTACTATAAGGTCTAAATGACTAGGCTATCAAATGCAATTTTCCATAATAATCCCCCAAATGTTTTCACGTCGAAGGTCAGCATTTATGTTTGTTTGTTTGTTTTTGTTAAGTGTATTCTAGATTCTCTGGACATGGCACTGAAAAACATTAAATGACACAAACCAATTAATTCCTAAGATCGATTGGTTGGCACGTCACTCGTTCAGCAATTATGATTTTACAACCAGTTCTCATCACCAGTTGTGGATGGACGACGTCCTGAGGGCGGCGATTTGAAGTGATGAGGTTTTAGTCACTGGATTGGTCTGTCTTAAGAGCTTACACCTATGTTTTCAACTAAAAATAATCAAACATGTGATTCTCTTAAATTGAGGTCAAGGTCATTACACCAAAAGTGCTTGTAACTTTCTGTTTATGGTAGCTAGTAGAATAACACTTTCTGTTTTGAAGTTGTCTTCTTTCCAAACGGGAAATGATGTCATTTAACTGGAAGTGCCAACAACTTTCTTAGTAATGTTGGTGCAGAACTGTTTTTAGGTTGTGATGCATTGAGCTTATGTTATGTTTGGCCTTTACTACAATTAAGTCAGTTTGTCTGTTTTCCCATTACAGAGGTGAAGGGTGCTTACATTGACAGCTTGAGGCACAGGACTAATTTCTACTGCATTTGGCAACATGAGGTATCCGTGATGAATCTAAAACATGTATTGATGAGGTCATCGCTTGAGTAGATGGACGTTAAAATGGGTCATGATACACGTTTGTTGTGGTAAAGTTTTCGCTATTCAAGAAAAATTATGTAGGGACTAGTTCTGTGTTGCATGTAATTTAATATATTTATTCATATATGTTTTACATGTTTGTCCTTGCATCTGTAGGTAGTTGTAGAATAGCATTACTGTTGTAAATATGTAAGCTTAGTGCCATAAGGTAGAAATGGATCCCATACACCTGGGAATATTGAAACAATTTAAACCTTTAAAATTATGGTCGCGGTTGTTTGATCAACATCCATGGCGAGATGAAGTATGAAATGCATTGTTTCGATGCTGTCAGTGCCATTCAAATTGATCAGCAGAGACAGATAGCATTAATTATGAGAAACAAAACGCGCTGATGGCTGAAAATCAATGTTACGACAATACTAATTCTACATGTCACCAATTTGTAAGAGCTTACTTGTAACGTTGTCTTTCTTTTTCATTCAGTATGAATCACTTGATCCACCAAGACTTGAACGAGCTGTGGAGGACAAGTAGTTGGTACCTGACAAAGGCCACTGTGATGGGCATTACTTGCACCGGGTACCACCTGGAAAAGTCGCAGTTGTGCCCCGAATGATTGTGCACCGTCCTCTAATCACTCGAACGTGATGCCACACTTACAACTACTGTGGGACTAGGTGGTTTCAATATCATACTTGTGAGGCTGACTTTCATGAACTATAGTGTCACGCCATTTTTCTGTATCAAACCATGTATAATAAAAGTATGAAAAATCCACCATTTTGTTTTCATTGTAGCTAATCGGGCATTTGAAGCCATGAGAGTATGAAATGATTTGTTGAAAATCTTGATATGATTCCCTAGTTTATCAGGCCAAATGATTTTCTCTTACTGCAAAATATATTGATTGACCACAGAACCTAATGTTTCAACACCAACGTGTTGTTTACTACAAAAATGACTGCTGAGCGATATTTTGAAGTACATAATACAAAGTGGTAAATAATAAATGTCTGGCAGAAATTTCTGGAGGTATAAAAAAGGTTCTTCTAGAAATTTCTGCAGTACAAAACAAATCAGTCAGAATTTTCTTCAGAAATGCATTTGAGCTCATTTGAGGAACATAAACTTTGCAATGTTATTAAGTGTGTTCCTGTAGGCTCGATCCCTTTATGGTCATGTTCGGACTGCTGACCATTCCAAAGTTGTATCGCCTCTCCTTCATGTAAGTTATATCCCAGCTTGTTACATGTAGGTTCATGCGGAGGAAACGTCTGAAGCGGTACAGAACGTAGGAGAACCCAAATGTCAGTAAAATGATAAAATGTAAAACCTAGCAAATTCGAAAATTAGGCTACAAAAAATACAGTGCTCTCGCTGTCAGTTGACAATGCATTTGTTTAAAAACAACTCTCGCAATGCGATTAATTTTGATTTTCTAACAAAAATGATCACACATATCTTCACACCGCGATTAAGTTGTAACCAGGGTGAAATATTCACGTGAAACGTGTGACGCACCGCCTGAGAAGGGATGTATCAGGGTGTTTCTGTTCAAATAATGTTTTCTCATCAACTGACCTGACATAAATGATCAAACGTGCGCCATTCATTCAATATTTGGCAAGAAATGACATATGTTCTCTTCTATGGAAACTCATTGAAACACAAAGAAAGTAGTTCCTGCAGTTTCGTTTTATTGGAAAAGTTTCCACTGAGGCGTACAGCAAAACTCAGCGTTCTAAATGAGCGAACACCACAACATGGCCAGATCAGAATATTTTAGTGAAGTGACTTATGCTTTGAGGACAAAAGACGCATCAACAGCCACTGTTTTATTCGACTATTTAATGTTACAAAAACATCAGTTGAAAAAAGAGGAAGTAAGAAATATAAGGAAACAAAAAGTGAAACATAAAAAGTAGCCAGTTCCTGGTACTACATATCACCAATTCTGAGTCACTCGGGTGAATGAGAGAGCTCAGCATTATTCCGGTCGTAAAATGTTAAAATTGCAGAATAAAGTAGTGTGCTGCTTGTTGGTCAGTTCGGGAAACATGCGTCTACGGGTAATTGATGGGTGGTGACACCAGAAACCCTGGATCTGCCTATGCCTCTGCTTGCTACACAATAATATAAAATATAATATCCGTCGCTAGCTTGTCAGTTTTTGCTGACTGTGTCGTGAAACAAAATTCAACATAATATACCACACATCACTTCACGTACAAAAGAATAATTGTGGATATCCTATCTTGTGTAAACGGGACAATTATAATAGCTTTTCGTCACAGGGATCACGTTTTACACATGATTCTTATTATTGACCATAAGAGAGAAATGTCCAGAGGAGATAATGCCGGACTGCACGTTCCACTCTTGCCTATGAATACATTACATTACCACTTTCACATGGCTGTCCAAATCGCCAAACATTAAAGCCACAGAACATTTGGGCTAGATGGGACCCAAAGCCTTCTTTAATCATGACGATGCGGATCAGTTTTGGAGTCACGTAGTGGTCTCAATAGCTACCGAGAACAAGGCCCATTTGTGAACTGACATCATCACTGCTTGAACTTTTATTGACTTATTTACAATTACTAACATTCTCACATTCAGGCCATCATTTCCATGTGAGACGTTGACTTGCCTTTACACGTGTTCGCAATGTGTGGGGCAGAAAAATCGCACCTTTTCGCAAACATCCGATGTCATCACTACTTTTCACAATTATTCATGAACACTTGATATGGTCGCACTCGTAGAATGTACATGGATGTCACTTTTATTTCCAAGTTCTAATTTTAGCGGTTACACTGTGTGTAACACTCACGCATATTAATTTAATTCTTCAGGGAATTGTGTTGGCGTTTGCTGTATATTACAAGATACATGTTGAATGGAGCAATGCCTTTGATCCCGTTTGTGACGTGGTATTATAACAGTGATTGGTGATTAATGAACTGTCATAAAAATATCGAGCAATTAAATTTGGAGAATCGACATCTGATGTGGACATGGCAAACGTTGAATTACGAATTGTTGTATAAGAGCACCAATTACTGCATTTTTAAGATATCACATAATCCCCAAATCATTAACGATACATCCAACAATGGGTATATATATCCAATCAACAACATTGGTATTCTATGTTAAAATAGAAAGCATGTAAGTCTCCTAAAAGCAAGGCTTGACCAACTTACTGGTACATTAGCATCAAATAGGATATCAATATGGTCTAATCAATGTATTGATGTACGTGGGGAAACCTGGCCAGCATACATGTGTAATAATATACAAAGCAATATGTCATCAGGTCGGTTCGTGCCCAGTGAAGATCCGGGGTAGAATAGATCTTCAGCAGCCCATGCTTGCCGTAAAAGGCGACTATGCTTGTCGTAAGAGGCAACTAACGGGATCGGATGGTCAGGCTCGCTAACATGGTATCCCAATTGCATGGGTCAATGCTCATGATATCAGTCATATATCATGAAACACTGAACATTGAACCATATATGTAATCCTGTCACAGGACACCTCACATTTGAAGTCAGGATTTGTGTGAGTCAGTGTGTTGGGTTTAACGCCGTTTTGAACAGTATCCCAGTTATATCACGGCGTGCCAGCTAGACGTGGGCTGAAAGCCCATAGTAATGCAGGTTTCAAACATTTATCACCTTGGTGAAACCCACAAGCACGGGTGTGGTGCTGGCAAACCTAGAAAGGTAATCGGGGCGAACAGGGATTCGATCTCACAATCATATGTTTTCAATGGACCTAACTCTGCACAGTGAATTGCTGAGCCTTAGACGACTGGGCCACCCATGGACTTAAATCAGAATTTGAGCAACAACTGTTAATGCAACGTTGCGAGGGCACCTTTTTAAAACGACGTCCAAGCTAATACTTGATTATCTGTTATTCTATTCATTGAACCAATGACCTGCATGCACAAAACATGATAATGATGTACGATGAAACTATTCCATTGTCACAATGGATGTTATGTGTGGATAGTGCTTGAATAGGATCCGACCCGTGAAGATCCGGGGTAGAATAGGTCTTCTGCGACCCATGCTTGTCGTAAGAGGCGACTAACGGGACCGGGTGGTCAGGCTCGCCGACTTGGTTGATGCATGTCATCGTATCCCAATTGCGTGGATCGATGCACATGATGTCAATCACTGGATTGTTTGGTCCAGACTCGATTATTTACAAACCGCCTTCATATAGCTGGAATATTGCTGAGTGCGGCGTTAAACAGCAAACAAACAAACTGTCGATAGAATTTTAGATCTTCACAAACACCGGGTGTGACCATATAGACAGAATCTCGTTAGGGTTTGTGATTTTTACATTTGCCCAATGACCATGGTGAGTGTTGTTGGGGATACCAAAGGTGACAGTTTACTATTAGAGGAAATTGGTTGTGAGTACTTATACCATTTGGATAGGATATTTTTAGGATTTTAATCCTTTCTTTCGCTGTGGGTAATCCTTTCACGTTGATGGAAGGAAGTCACTCAACCAGGTCATGACAATGGTGATGCGCAAGGCTCGGAATCACGAATAGATCACTAGAGGTGTTGATGCAGGCTGGACATGCAGCATACAGCATTTCCAGTGTAGGCTGGCACCTCGTATTTGTTTCACTCGGTATTTAAAACCTTGACCATTCACAGGTGCATTTGTCTATTTACAATGAAGTTGTTTGGCATTCCCAGTATTTATATAATATCTCACTGATTACTTGTTAACTGGTCACTGCAAGTGCCTTAATTATTTAAGTTTCAGTGAACTGAGTTTATTCACATGTTAGTTTCAAAGGTTGTGACAGATACTTGTAAAATCCTCAGTTGAGTTTACTCACTAACTACTGTGAGCGTTTTGGGCATGATATCTGTGGGAATTGTATAAACACAGTAACTACTAAAAGCGGCGTAAAACCATGCTCACTCACAGTAACTGCTAATCCTCTGCATTGTGCTGGCAAATTGGAGATAAACCTGTGACGATCAAACTCAGTTAGAATCCTTGTTTATCTGTGACATCTTCCAACTGGAGACATTTTTGTAAATTTGAAAAGGGATGATGAATTTTAATATTCATATTATTGAAACCGTCCTTTTTAAGGGACCGTTTATGCCTAGAATTGTTACGGGGAATTAACTCCAGGATCTCCACGCCTTCAAAAACAGACAGAGAGGTTCTCAGGCGAAATGCACTACCCATCTGTCCAGTTTGGAATTGATAACAATGGTTTCCCACATGGTGGTCAAATTATGCAAGTTTTGATGTGCTGACTTGCTTAGTTGATTGTTTATAGGCTGGTCGGCTGTGTTTGAAACTGGTCAGTCGGCTCTAGAATTTCAATACATGGAATTGATAACAATGGCTTCTCACATGTTGGTCAAATTATGCAAGTTTTGATGTGCTGACTTGCTTAGTTAATTGTTTATTGGCTGGTCAGCTATGTCTGAATCTGGTCAGCCGGGTCTAGAATTTCAATAGCGCTAGCTGATTAGCATCTGCCAGCTCGTTTGGTGAGTGAGTGAGTGAGTTAAAGTTTAACGTCACATCGGCAATATTTCAGCCATATCGTGACGATCCAGCTCGTTTGACTGGTTTCGACAGCTTGCATTTCCAAGCGCTACGTATTATGATAGACGTCCTGTAAACTATGTAGCGTTTACTGGCTTGGGAATGTGAAACTTAAAGTAGTAGAATATATTTGATTTTGATAAAACTTGAAGAAAAATATAATGATTTTC